ATCGGCTTCTTACGCAGCCCTTCCCTGCAGCGAGCCCCCCCCAACCCACCCGCGCTAGGTCTCGGGTTTGACGCATGGGGTCACTCCCGCGAAACTCGTGAACTAGCCGGGGCAGTCGGAGAAGGGGCAACTCCGTGCACTGACGGTCGGCCGTCAGAAACCACGCCTGCGTGGATCGCGTCACACCAATGCTCGCTACCCAACGCGGCCAAAGGATATCAACCTCGAGAACCTCGAGAACATAAGAGAGGAATATACCAAAGAGGAATATACCATCGAGGAATGTACAAAGAGAAATACCCAACAGGAATATACCAAAGTGAATACCCCATATACAACAAAACTCTCTCATATACATAAAGAGGGATGGTTGAGTTTTGTGTGTCCCTTCTCTCTTCTCGCTTGCACCCCTTCACACCTGGCCGCAAGGGAGGAAGCGTCGCCTCCGGCGACCCCTCAAGGGGGAACCCTAGGAACCGGAGGAAGAGGCGACCCCTCAAGGGGGAACCCTAGGAACCGGTGGAAGCGTCGCCTCCGGCGACCCCTCAAGGGTCCACCAGGCCAAGGGCCTCGAGGCGGAGGTCGTCTACCTGCTCCAGCCAGGGCTCTGCCCGCTGCAGGAGCGGCTCAAGCTCAAGGACGACCCGGTGCGCGGGTGGGAGGCCATCGAGGAGCCGAGAGTCAACTACGTCGCGCGCTCGCGCGCCATCGAGGACTTCTTCGTGATGGAGCACTTCGACGGCGGCCTCACCCGCGGCAACCTCCTCTCCCTCTGGATGCGGCCCCAGGCCAGCGAGGCGACCGACTCGGAGTCCACCAGCGCCACCGCCTCCGCGCCTCCATCGCAGGACAGTCCTCGCTCTCGCGTCCCCCGTGCCTGTCTTGGCTGTCTATGTGACTCCGCCCTCCCCGCACCGCCCTCCCTGGCAGGAGTCTGAGACCGCGGACGAGCCGATCGAGGAGACGGAGGCGACCTACGAGGCGCTCAAGGCGCTCAACCTCCAGTCCGTTCCAGAGACCCTCCTCGACCTGCAGACGGCCTTCCGCTCGCACTTCATGACGTCGACTGCCAACCTCGACACCGCCGAGAAGGCGGCCTTCCGGGACAGCTGCCTCCGGGCGCGGCGCGTCCTCCTGGCGCTGATCCGGCAGCGCACCGCCCCCATCTCCACGCGCTAGTTTTCACCCCGTGCCACTGGGTGACTAACTAGACCAAACAGCGCAGACGTGTGAGTCGCTCAGAGTCTCAGTGTCGTGCTGTGACCACCGTGCCTGCATGTGCTGCTGCCATCGGCTGAGTCCACCCGTAGCAGACAGGTAGGGGTGAGCGTGACTCGTAACACTAAGCTGTCTCGCCCAAACCATTACTTACACACACAGAGAGTCGCGGGGAGTCGCGGGTTGGTCTCGGGGAGAGCACAGGTACAGGTGCAGGTCTCGTGGACAGCTGACACTCTGACTAAGTAACAAGAGAAAAGAATTTTCTCACAGAGGGTGACGGCTCACAGCTCACAGCTCACAGTCACAGCTCACAGCTCACAGCTCACAGCTCACAGCACTTACCGCTCGCCGCAGCTCACAGCACTCGCGCAGCTCACAGCTCGCCAGCGACGACGCAGCGACGGGGTGTAGCAGCGTGTGCCGCTCTGCGTGCCTTCTCTCGCCCCTGTGTCCCTCGGAGGCCCCAAACTCACTCGGCTGAGCGGCGTGCCGTCGCCCTCTCCCACAGGCCGCTGGAGGAGGGCGAGGAGGAGGAGGAGGAGGGCTTTGACGACGATGACGACGACGACGACGAGGAGGAGGAGCCGTGAGCTGCATGTGGCGGGTGTCGGAGAGGCTGCGAGAGAAAGACGAAGAGATTTTTTTTCCTTTTTCCCGTACCGTGACCTTTTCTTCTTTTTCCCGGTGGTTTGCCTGTGATAGTGCTAGCACGCGCCAAGTCCGCACCTCTGTGTCGAGCCTGTCTGCTAAAAGAAAAGCGAAGAAAGACACAACACCCACCACCACCAACCAACCAACCACCAACCAACCCAGGAGGGATATGGGAGGACGGCACGCCGCCACAAAAAGGGATTTTAAGGAGAGGGGTGGCCTCCTCGGACATGGTACCTCCGGTGAGATGAGTGGCTGCCAGTTCGAGACTGGGGCCGATCGAACTTGATTTGTTCGGAGGAGGATTCCGGCCAGCACGGGTACAAAGAGGGGTACCCGGAGAATCCCCAGCTGAGGAAACGTAGTGTCGCTCAAGAGGTGCGATACTGCGGGGGAGTGTAAGGTGCCTATATGGGCTTCCAGTATCGGACCTTCAAGACATGCGCTTTTGGCCGGTGGCCTCCTCGGACATGGTTGGTACCTCCGGTGAGATAGTGGCTGCCAGTTCGAGACTGGGGCCGATCGAACTTGATTTGTTCGGAGGAGGAATCCGGCCAGCACGGGTACAAAGAGGGGTACCCGGAGAATCCCCAGCTGAGGAAACGTCGGACAGCCTCTGCCTCTCTTCGCAGCATTCGCAGGCTCTCCGCCTCCGGCCGATTCCCGCTGCCAACCTTCATGCCACCTCGCATGAGCCCAACCCTGCTCGCCAACCTTGCCCGGGGCGACCTGGCCTTGCTGCGCGCCGTCCTCGCCGGGTGGCGGACGCGCGGCACGCTCGACGCGCGGCTCGACACCGACAAGCAGCACACCCTGCTCACCTGGGCCGCTCGTCACGGGCAGGCCGAGGCGGTGCGGCTGCTGCTCGACAGCGGCGCGCGCGTCGAGGCGACGACTGGCGGCGGCGCTTCCGCGCTGTACATCGCGTGCCAGGAGGGGCAGATTGAGTGCGCCCGGCTGCTCCTCGAGGCTGGCGCGGCGACCGACCAAGCGGATTCTGAAGGCCGCACGCCGCTGTACGTAGCGAGCCTGCAGGGCCATGACCAGTGCGTCCGGCTGCTTCTCGAGGCGAGCGCGGCGGTCAACCAAGCCAAGGACGGCGGCGCCACGCCGCTGTACGTCGCGTGCCATAAGGGCCACCTCGAGTGCGTCCGGCTGCTCCTCGAGGCTGGCGCGGCGGTGGCTCAAGCAGACGCTGAAGGCCGCACGCCGCTGTTCGTCGCGTGCCAGAACGGCCACGTCGAGGTATCCCGGCTGCTCCTCGAGACCAGCGCGGAGGTCAACCAAGCCGATGATGAAGGCACCACGCCGCTGAGTGCTGCGAGCTTGACTGGCGAGATCAGCTGCGTTCGGCTGCTCCTCGAGGCTGGCGCGGCGGTCAACCAAGCAGACGCTGAAGGCCGCACGCCGATGCTCGTCGCGTGCCAGGAGGGGCAGATCGCGATCGCTCGGCTGCTCCTCGAGGCCAGCGCGGCGACCGACCAAGCCAGTGACGACGGCGCCACGCCGCTGTACATCGCGTGCCAGAACGGCCACCTCGAGTGCGTCCGGCTGCTCCTCGAGGCTGGCGCGGCGATCAACCAAGCTGATGAAGAAGGCACCACGCCGCTGTACATCGCATGCTATAAGGGCAACCTCGAGTGCGTCCGGCTGCTCCTCCGCTCGAGCGCGGTGGTGGTCGACCAAGCCTGCAACAATGGCGCCACGCCGCTGCGCCTCGCGTGCCAGCAGGGCCACCTCGAGATCGTCCGGCTGCTCCTCGAGGCTGGCGCGGCGTTCGACCAAGCCTGCAACAACGGAGCCACGCCGCTGTCCATAGCGTGCCAGCAGGCCCACCTCGATATCGTCCAGCTGCTCCTCGAGGCTGGCGCAGCGACCGACCAAGCCAGGGACGGCGGCGACACGCCGCTGCTCATTGCGTGCGAGAACAACAACCTCGAGTGCGTCCGGCTGCTCCTCGAGGCTGGCGCGGCGATCAATCATTCCGAGCAGAACGGCGCCACGCCGCTGAGCGCTGCCTGCATTTACGGCCACTTCGAGGTCGCCAAGCTCCTCTCCTCCTACAGCGCCTCCCGAGCCGCAACGCCCTTCGGCACGCCCGAGGAGGCTGCAACTGAAGAAGGCCACGCCGACCTCGCCGCTTGGCTGGTCGCCAGCCGCGGCTGGACGCCGCTCCAGCACCTCGAGGCATGCCCCGAGACTGGCGGCTGAAGAAGCGTCAGTGCAGTGTCCTCACGCTCAGTGTCCCTCTTCCCGCAGGCGCTCACCGTCGACCGGGCGCGGGCGCTGCTGCGCGGCGGCGCGGACTCTTCAGCCGGCGAGCCTTCGGCCCTCGAGCGGGCGCGCGTCCTCTGCTCGTGGGGCGAGTCGGATCCGACCGCTGCGGCAGTCGGTTCCACAGTCGAGATCCGCTCTCTCGTCTCGCGGCCGTCGCTCAACGGCAAGGTTGGTCTCGTCGTCTCCGCAAACGCTTCGACGGCCCGCTTCGGCGTGCGCGTGGCGGGCGAGGCCAAGGCACTCGCACTGAGGCGCGCTATGCAATGGTCTCTCCCCGACTCGCCGGATCCTCTCTCAAACACCCGAAGCCTCTGCCCTCCAGGCCGGCCAACCTGCAGCCAGCGGCCGAGGCGGTGGAGGTGGGCAGGCTGATCCTCAAGGCGGCGGAGTGGTCGCCGCAGTCGCACGAGCTCTTCCCGGAGGCGGCTCGCAAGTGGGCGGTGGCAGTGATGCGGCTGGGCTACCTGATCGCTTGGGACGAGGAGCGCTTCGTTGGCCGCGAGGGAGCGGCTCCAGAACTGGCGGACATCTGGCGCAGTTTCGTGCTGCCTGGGGTGGTGGTGCGGGCCGCCGCCGCAGACGCATCGCGCCGCCCATGAGGAAACGATATGGAGAGCGTGTGCGTGTGCGCGGTGGATCTGTTCGCTGTGATCGGCCTCTCTCTTGTCTTTCGCCTGTGTCCAGCCACAGGCTGTCCTGTGATCGAGCCCTGTGACTTACACCTCTGTGACTCTCTGAGACAGAGTCCGCACAAGTGTCCGGAGTCCGCTGAGTCGTGACACGTGAGTGTGAGTCCCCCGGACCCGATATCCCGAGAACCGCGCAGCATAAAACTCGCCATTCACTTAACTACACAGTCCTAGAGTATACCTAAACGGCCGTATAATGGCCATGGAACGGTCTACACGACCTACGGCTCCACCTTCCCCCACGCCCTCCGCCTCCCGCGCGCGCCCCCACCTCTGCCCCGCTTGCCATCGCCTGCGCCGCCACGCCCCCCGCGACCACCGGCGCCGCCGACGCTCCTGCGAGCCCGCGTACTAGCTTCCGCGCAGCTGCCGACGCTGCCACGAGCGCTGCCTCCACCCGTCGCATCGGGCGGCCAGACGAGAGGCAACAATCGATGGCGCGCCGCCCGCCCTGGCCGCACGTCGCCCAGCCACGCCACGCAGCTTTCGGCATCTTCGTCATCCTGCGAACGCAGCGCGCCCTGCAGCCGGCTGGCGCCATCCGCGTAGAACGAGACCGCGACGGCGCGCCGCGGCACGTCGCCCATGTTCGGCGCGGCGCTGTGCAACACCCAGCCATGGTGCCAAGTGGCGTCGCCCGCGCGCAGCGCACCGCCATCACGCAGCGGGTAGCCCCGCGTCGAGGCGTCCACTGGACGGCGCGGGTCGCCGTGCCAGAAGTTGAGGGCGACATCGCGGTGTGAGCCGCTCGCGAAGACCAGGGAGCTGCCGCCGTCGTCGGGTGCGGCCACGTCGTGCAGCGGCAGCCAGCAGGTCACAAAGGAGTTTGTGTCGAGAGGCGCCATCGACAGATCTGAGTGCCAGTGAGTCGGGCCGTCGCCCGGGCGTTTGAGGAAGTACGAATCCTGGTACAGCCGAACGCGCTCGACGCCGAGCAGGCTGGCGGCGGTCCCGGCGAGCGCCGGCGAACGCCAGAGCTCGTGGACCATTGGCGACGTGCGCCACAAATTGAAGAGCTGCATGAAGGGCACCGCACCCTCCGGCAGCTCTTCGCGGAGTATGCGACGCAGCACATGGGGCGAAGCCGCACTCTTGTGCTCCGCGCGCGCGAGTCGGTCGTCGCCCAGCAACACCCTTACCTTCTGGCGGAGTGCCTCGCTCTCGCGCTCCGTGTAGAGCCGATCGACTTCCTTAGAAAGTGCGGAGGTGGCTGCGCCAGGAAGCAGCTTGCGCGTGCGCACGTGGCCTGTGCGCTCGAACTCGAGCATCTGCGCCGCGGCGAGACTCACAGCCGGAGTCTTCATTATGCCAAAGACGTGGAAGGAGATATCTGTCTCGCTGGAGGAGCGCGCCATCCACAGGACGGCAGAAAGAATTCTTAAGATACAAGCCTCTCTCACAGAAAGAATTTAAACAAGACAACTCTCTCTCACAGCACACAGGCTCGACACAGGTGCGAACTGGCGCGTGCTAGTACTATCACCGGCACACCACCGGAGCCGCCTAAGCGACTCCGTTAAGAACGGCAGAAAGAAACCAGCCGTGCTGAGTGAAGGGCGCCCGTAACGCCTAGCTCCGCAGACGGAGAGCTCCTTCGTTCTTTCTCTATATAAAATGAACTCGGGGGCAAAAAATAGAAAGAAAGAAAACACACAACCCAAGGGAGGGATGGGAGAACGGCACGCCGTCACCACACAGGGATTTTAAGGAGAGGAGTGTGATGCGCTAGCCGTCGCCCACCCTGGGGAGTCTGCTTCTTCGTATCTCTTTTCGCAGTCTCTCGCCGCTTCTCGCTGCAACCTTCATGCCACCTCGCTCGCGGCCGTCCCACTCTCGTCGTTCTCTCCCTTGTCTCTTCCTCCTCCTGTCGCACTTGGAGCACTTGGAGTGCAGTCGGCAGCCTCACATCCAGGGCCGGGGAGCTCAGAAGCGCACCCAGCGGGCCGGATGATCGGGATCGGGCTACGGGCTAGAGAGCCCTGACCCCTAGCTAGGGGGGGTGCGCATTCGCAGGGCAAGGGCCTTAAAGTAAACACGGGTCTCCGAGGGTTAGTACCGCGCTCCAGGTTTCCCTTAGCAGCAGAACGCCCCCTCTACTCGGAGCTAGTAGACACCAGACAAGGACACGCGACGACACACACTCCCCCTTGGCGACGGCGTCGCCAATCACAACCCCTCCGCTCGGTCTCCCTGCCCCGGCTCCGGTGGGGTTCCCCCCCCCGTTCGATCCGTTCTCCTGTTTGCTTCTCGATGGTTGTACGGCGGGCGCGGAGCCCGACCTCCCCTCCTAGCCTTTTTCGGCTGCGGCCCCGCCGCCGTCTCGTCTTCTCTGCCTGATCCTGTTGACTCCGCCCCCGGCGATCCCACGCCCGACTCCCCGGGTGAGGGCGGCGGCATCACTCGTCGCCACTCCTCTCCGGGAGGTCGGACCGGCTCTCCCCGGTCAGCGAGTCGTGCCCGCACCCGTGGCCTCTCTATCGTCCTCGGCTCGCCCTCCCCTTCCTCCTGCTCCTCACTAAACTCGGGAAGGCGCGGTCCCTTTTGTCGTAAGTCACGGCGGTCTATCCAACGCCGCGACGGGTCTACCCCTGGTGGGCTCACACGGCCCGGTTCCACTCGCAGAGGCCGAGTCAGCTCGACTCTCACCTCCTCCGAAAGTTGACCCCAAGCCCCCCCCGGGGCCCTCCGGCCACGGCCCTCCGGTTCGCCGGCGGCATCGTTCTTTCTCTTCTGCCTCGTCCTGCGGCGCCGCCGCCTGCCGGTCCCTTGATCTCGCGGCTTCTTTCGCCTTTCGGCGCAACTCCGTCCTCCTCGCGGCGTATCCTGGCCCCTCAAGTCTATCGAGCTCCCCTCGCGCAAGTACCACATTTCTGACTCCCACTCCAATCATTTGCCGCCAAGTCATATCGTTGCTCAGGTCCACTCTCTCTTACGAACACTCGAGGCCTCTACGGATGATGCCGGCTCTGTGTTCCCCTTCGGATGCATGCATCGTGACATCTGACATCTTAGTTTCGTGAGAGTGCATTCATTAACCTTGGAGCACTTGGAGTGCAGTCGGCAACCTCACATCCAGGGCCGGTGAGCTGAGAAGCGCATCCAGCGGGCCGGATGATCGGTATCGGGTTACGGGCTAGAGAGCCCTAGCCCCGGGGGTGCGCGTTCGCAGGGCAAGGGCTGTAAAGTAAACACGGGTATTAACACCTTTAAATTCTTCTCTCTGGGCGCATTGGGCGCAGCTAAACGTCGGGCAGTGGCTCGACGTCGTCGAGCCGTGCTGCCTCTGCGGGCGGCCCGGGTCGGCGGGCGAGTTGTGGCGGGCGGGCACGTGGCGGTGGGCTAACTCGACAGGCCGCTGCGCGGCGCCCTATCTCGCCACCACTGACGATGGGTGGGAGGTGCCTGGCCTGCGCCAGGCATACGTCGCGCATGGCATGTGCGGCGGGCTCTGCCGAGGATGGGGCTGCTGCGAGGCGCGGGGCGTGGCGCAGCCGCAGGATGGGAGCGGCGAGGCGCGAGGCGAGGGCGAGGGCGAGGGCGAGCTAAGCTCGGATGGCGACTCGGACGGGGGGGAGGAGGGCGTGGACTGGCTTGCGGGAGACCCTACGTGGGGCTCGGCTGCGCTGGAGGACGAGTGGCGCGCCGCGTCTCTCGCGAGGCAGGCGGTAGGCGACGCGGCGTACGCCGCGGCGCATGCTGCTGGCGCTTCGCGGGCTGAGGCGTGCGACGCCGCCGTGAGGGCGGTGAGGTTGGACGAGGTTGAGGCTCAGTCCTCGTTCCTCGTGCGCGCTGGGTGGTACGGCTCCGGCCGTGATGGGGGCGGGGAGGGGGCGGGGGCGACGGCCGCACGGAATCGCCGCCGGCGGGGGGCGAGGGCGCGGGCGAAGGAGGAGGAGCCAGAGCCAGGGGAGGATTGGGAGGGGGAGGAGCGGCCGGAGGAGTACGCCGGCCTCTTTGACGACCCGTAAGGGGCCGTCGCCTGCTGTGCCATTTGTAGTGCCAGTCCGAGCCAGTCTGCTGTGAGAGGGTCTTGTAGGGTAAAATTCTTCTCTTCCTCCGATTGGAGTTTTCGCGAGCTGGCTGGGCGAGAGGAATGATCTCCTCGGCGCTCGCCGCGGTCGCCCTGCTCCCGTCCGTCTCCCACCGGCCCGAGCCGGCCAGCAGCGCCGCCGCCGTCGGCCGCCGTGCAGCGCTCGGTGTCTCAGTCGCGGCAGCCGCGGCGGCGCCTTCCCGCGCCGCAGCGGAAGGCCTCTTCTATTCGGACGGATACACGTCTGCTGCGGGCGGCTGGACGGCGCACGAGGGCCCGTTCGACGCCAGCTACTTCAGAGACTTCCAGGACTCGAAGACCGCGCCCGGGTTCAAGTACAAGTTTTTGCGAGAAGGCGGAGGCGAGAAGCCGCAGCCGTTCCAAAAGGTGTTTGTGCACTATACCGGCTACCTCACCGATGGCACCCGCTTCGACACGAGCTACAAGCCGTCGTACAAGGCCGACCTAAAGGGCGCAGAAGAGCCGTTTGGCTTCCGGCTCAACAAGGGCAAGGTGATCTCTGGCTGGGAGGGCATCGTGTCGGGCATGACAGTTGGGCAGCGTGTGGTGGTGTACATCCCTCCCGAATACGCGTACGGCGAGCAAGGTGCGGGCAGCAAGATCCCGCCAAACTCGCCGCTCGTCTTCTACATGGAGCTGGTCAAGCTCGGCAACATCAAGGGCGACAAGCCGCGCGTCGGGGCCGGGTTTACGTCTTGACGCCAGAGGGAGCGGCGGCGGCGGCGGTACGACTTCGGTCCCCGCGGGAAGCCCCGCGCATACAGTAGGACAACAACGTCTGTCCCACACACGCACAGACGCACACATACATGGCCTCGCGTCTCGCCACACATACGTCTAAAAACCGGTGGAAAACTCCCCCTTGACCAACACTCGTCGTTAACGCTTGCGCGGAAACGTCTGAAAGGCGCCCGGACCCCGCGGCGGTGCAGTCTGGGTAACGTTTTGAGCTGTGTGTGTGTGTGTGTGTGTGTGTGTGTGTGTGTGTGTGTGTGTGTGTGTGTGTGTGTGTGTGTGTGTGTGTGTGTGTGTGTGTGTGTGTGTGTGTGTGTGTGTGTGTGTGGAGCTCTAGCACGACCGAGCACAGAAACGAGAAAGAGAGAGATCGCGATATTAGGTTCACGATCTACTTCCTTTTGTTAACATCCCCGACTCAGACCGATCAGCTTGTGCCGATAGTCCACGCAGCATGAGCCCAAAGTAGTCGCTGCGGTCGTCGGCGTCGCAGCTAACAGAAAATTGGCGACCCCGCCGCTCGATGGTGCGCTGCATGCGCGAGACGGACTCGGTCGGCAAGCGCTTCAAGTGCGCGAGCAGGTCGACTTCGCCAGCAACAAATGCTGTCCTGTTGATGAGCACACGCGACTCTTCGCGCCAGCCATCCCACAGCCAGCCAAAGCCGTAGTCCTGGAAGGGGTGGAAGAGGACAGGTATGCAACCGGAGACGATTGACTCCGCAAAGCTCTTGCGGAACGGTGTGTCGCCCGCTGGCTCCAAGCAGAAGACTGCCCTCTTCTTCAGCTCAATCGCGTCTCGCAACGCAATCTTCTCTTTGCGAAAGCGAGGGCTCTTTGGCCTGATGTGCGTGCAAACGGCGTCGTCATCGTACGCAGCACACTGCTGTGCGATGCGACCGCGCACTTGGGCGTCGCCGTGATAGCCACGGCCGGCGTTGCCCACGAACAGCATCAGTATGTCCGCACGTCCCTCATGCGACGTCCAAGGCGGCAGCTTACCCGCTTGAGGCACGGCCGGGAAGAAGGGGACGGAGCGCAGGTTTGGGTACACCCTCACGCCGCCATGGTACGGAGGGTCTTGCTTCATGTACCTGTTCTCGCAGCACCCATCGCGCCACTCGAGAGGGAACACCTCCGAGTACGCCACCCTCAGAGAGCGCGCGAGCAGGCCTCGGGGATAGGACCACCAGCCCGCACAACAGCCCTGACATGCCCAGTGCTCGCGGGAGAAGAAGAAGAAGTGTCGATGAGCCGTGTGCCGGTTGAAGTGCGGTAAATGGCCAGCGACGTCCACGTCCCGCAGCCTTGCGCAGCTGGCCTTAACATTGCCGAGTGTGCGCATACTTCTGAGCATCATAGGCACAAAGTAGAGGTCGGCCTTGGCCGGGGACCGCGCGCGATATGACGTGCTCAGCAAGCGATGGTGTATGAGCTCTGCCCCGCCGAACTGGTTGACCGCTTGAATGTTTTTGCAGACAGCTGCAAACTCCATCTTTGGCGAACTCTGCGCCGGCTCAGGGAAGAGCTTCACTGAGAGGTTCTCGTACACAAATACTCGCGGCAACTCAGGCGCAAGGCGCGTGTCGTCGGCTGGCCTATCGAGCGACGGGAAGCGGTCGCCAAGCGGCAGTGGCGGCGACTTCCATTGCGAGCCGTGCGAGGTCGGCATTCAGTAGTCAGCCGGAAGGAGACGCTGATGCCAGCGGTGCTCGTATTACGATTTGTCACCATTGCCGTCGAAGTTCGCTTGAGGGCTTTCGTCCCCCCCCCCCCGAGGGTCTTGCTGGGGGAGCGAGTATTCACATAGCGCGGCCGCGAGAGCTGCGCTCTTGCGAAAAGCGAGTCAAATGCGACAAACATAGGTGACACCAAAATGAACATTGAACAAGGGCGTTTCACCCGAAAAGGCGAGGTACGTCTAGACTGCAAACGATCGTTGATCGACACCCGGCGGAGGGCCTTATGAAGGCGTTGCGCCTCCGTGCTCGGCATCGCCGTCGTGAAGGTGCGAGCGAGCGACGGCCCGGCCGTGCGAGCGAGGACAGTCGGCAAGGGCTCTAGCTGTCGTGCGCTGGCGCCGGGGCAGATGACTCAAACTTGGGAGCCTCACCTCTCCACCTGTGCTGCTCCATCCTCTTCGTGGCGACGACGGACATATAAGGCTTCATCGCGTCTCTTGAGATGCCCCCTTCAAGCGTATTCGCCATGAAGCGCTCCTCACCCTCTTTGAGCGCTTTCCAGACCCTCCGGTAGAGCTCCTCGTTGAATGTCGGAGGGGTCCAGCCCGATTTTGCCTTCACATCCGCGTACTCCAATCGGTTGAAGACGAGAAACTCCTCCTCGTTGAGGAGGCCGTCCTTGTCTTGATCGGCGTTCGCCCAATGCTCATCGTGCCGCTTGAGCGCCTATTCGAAAGCAAAGTGCGGTTGCAGGACATGGCGTCAGCGGGCAAGCGCCGCACGTTGCCGCGCAACCTCCTCTCGAGTGACGCTGGTTTGCATCTTGGCCCTCAATTCATCAGGGAAGTCCGCAAACTCCTTCTCCTTTGCGTCGACGAGATCGCCATAGTGAGCATACATCTCGTCGGTGCACTCCATGAAGGCCATGTTAGCGATGTGTATCCACTCCTGCCCGATGTACACTGTAGTCGGCCCCGTCACAGTCTGCTGTGAGAGCCCCTGTTGAAGAGTGCGGGAAGTCCGTGTGTATCGATCGCGGTCGTCCGTCCCGCAAGCTGAAAAAAGAATTTTACAAGCGTCCCTCGCACAACACTGGGCACGGGACTGGCGCGCACTGGCACTAACGTGTTGTGTGAAAAAGAACACAGAGACAAGCGGGGTTTTAAAAACAAGAACCGAAACGAACAAGGAAAAGAAATCGTGGGCGGGGGGGGGGGCTGTAACCACAAAGGGGTGCGTGTGTAAAGAACATATGGAGCGAGGAGCTCGCCTGGTGGTGCTGGTCTGGTGCCTTCTTTGGTGAGGGCTGGCGCGCCGTCTTGCTTGGGGCGGGGGCTAGTGCGCGAGGCGGCCTGCTGGTTGAGGTAGGCGATGCCTGGGTGCGACGCTGCGTCGATCTGCAGCGCTGGAGCAGCGGTGGGCATATCAGCTGAACGACTTTCGCAGCCAGCAGTAAGAACTAAGAAGGTAGTGTGCACATAGTCCCCCACAATCTAGTAAACATCTAAACCAACTCAAAGCTTCGCTAACAGGCACACACACCCCAAACACCCACCCTAAAAGCCGTCGCGCGCGGGCGGCCTCGACGCCACGCGTCACGCTGAGTACGACCTCGATGACTGGCAACCGAAAAGCTTGATTGGGGTGAGCCGCATGGAGCACTGGAACTCCCGCCCATCGAAGATGACCAGGATCTGCACGGCATCGGGGTCTGGCGCGCGGCCGGCGTCGCGCATCTCGGCGGGCACCGCGCAGGCGTCGGCGGCGCGTGATCGGAAGAAGACGAGCTTTGCCGGATGGTCCTCTGGGTAGCGGTAGCCGTGGCGCGCCGTCCGGGCGACGCCCCTCATGGCGCCGAGCACGACGAGCTCGCTCTCGTCGGGCTGTAGGCAGCTGCACATGAACATGCAGCGGCAGCGGGCCGGCGGCACCCGCTCCGTAGGCTCCAGTGCGCCCCACGCCGCGAAGCTGAAGCGGCCCGCCGGCACGTTGGGGTCGCCGCACAGCTTGAGGCCGCGGAAGCCCTCGGCGACTTGGGTGCGGGGCCAGTTGCCCCCTTCTTCTCTGCGGAAGTTGTCTTCTCTGCCGAGCAGCCCGTCGATGGCAGCGGCGTCGGGCCCATCCAGTAGCAGCGGCTGGCTGGCACTCACCAGGCGGCCCCAGCTCACGTGGCACAGCTCGACCCCGTGCGGCCCGTAGCGGCCATGATAGTACGGGCCGAGTTCCGCAGCACCGCGCGGGCCGAGCGCCTCGAGGGACGCCAGCTGGCGCGAGCTGTGCCACGTGAGCGGCCCGATCGCAGCTCGAGGCGGGCCCGCTGCGAGCGCGCGGCAGACGCGGCGGACCTTGGGGTGCTCCCAGCCGACGAGCAGGTCGCCAGGCGCACCCGTGCGCTCCGGCGTGCCGTTGCTGACGGCGAGCAGCCCCTCCCACTCTCCGCGCTGGTGGCCGTCCGACTCGAAGGCGATGCCTGATGGGCCGAGCTCATCAAAGGCGCGGAAGTCGAGCAGATCCTCGCCGACGAGGCCCAGCCGCATCGGCTCTTTCTCGAGGAACCACTTCATGTGCGGCTCCCGCCCGTGGTGGATGCGGAAGGCTGGCACGGCCTCGTACGCTTGGCTGACGCCGGGCCGCGAGGTAACGGTCGCGACCACACATAGCGCGCCGCTGGAGGCCTGCTGCAGCCCGACGGTGAGCACACCGCCCCTCACTCTGCGGGGCCAGAGGTACGCTCCTAGCTTGTCCGCGTGTCGCCAGATGAAGGCATAGCTGCGCTCATGCGGCCGGCCCACAGCCAAAGAGCAGGAGTGGGCCTCAAAGGAGGCGTCTTGAGCTGCGAGCTCCGCGACGACAAAGGACTTCCAAATGCCCAGATCGGCCTCGGCGCTCATGAGGGCCGCGCTGAGAGGGCGGCAGACCGTGCGAAGCGCAAGGCACGACGGCGCATCCAGCATGCAGCAGAGAGCGTGGAGCAGGCTGTCAGGCACGGCGAGGAGCGAGGCCGGCTCCGGCTCGAGCGGTGCAGCCGAGCACTCGCCGCTGCCGCCGATGAGCTGCCCTGGAACCGGAGTCCGCGAGCAGAGCTCCATGAGGTATTCAGTGAAATTTCGGAGTGGTTGCGTGCGTTGGGGGCTGTGCCTAGTCTCCCCGTGTGTGTGTGTGTGTGTGTGTGTGTGTGTGTGTGTGTGTGTGTGTGTGTGTGTGTGTGTGTGTGTGTGTGTGTGTGTGTGTGTGTGTGTGTGTGTGTGTGTGTGTGTGTGTGTGTGTGTGTGTGTGTGTGTGTGTGTGTGTGTGTTTTGACACCCAAACACTCTTCCTTAGCTCCTGAGGGGCGCGTGGTTGTAACCACGTAGTATGACTATAGCCCACCACAGACACCCTCCCTGCTCCACACGTGTGCACACACCCTCACCCTCTCCTCTCCCTCTCTCTCTCTCTCTCTCCTCTCTCCTCTCCTTGTCTGCTGTCTGTCTGACTCAGGCGCAATCTGCCGATGCGAGATTGTGTGTGGGCTGCTCCTAGGGGGCCCTGTGCGATCCGACGGGTAGGGGGTCTGTGCCCGGGGGGGCAGGGAGAGGGGGGGGGAGAGGAGGAGGGGGGGGGGGAGGGGGAGGGGTACGGGGGGGGCGGCATGGAGGGGGAGAGGAAGAGCAAGGGCGAGAGAGGGCAAGGAACTGGGCGCTGGCATACCAGGGGAGGCAGGGTGGTGGGCGGCGACCGCCGCATACCGTCCTACGGCGGGGACTATCGCTACGCCAGGGAAGACAAGGGCGTCGAAGTGCAGCTGCTGCTGTTCGAATCGTTCGGCGGGTTCGGAAAGGGGGTCCGTGAGATCCTCCGGAAGGCGGCGAACGTGCTACAGAACAAGCTGACGCGGGCCCAGTACCTCGATGAGGTGACTTGGACCACCAAGAGCTGGCTGGGGCTGCAGAAGCAGCGCATCTCAGTCGTTCTTCACACGGCCATCGCAGAGCAGGTCGTTCGTGAATGAGCTTGCCTGTGGCGGGGGTGGGCGGGTGCACGGAGCTAAGTGCCTCGCCACCCTCGCAGGAGTCGCTTAGGCGGCTCCCGTGGTGTACCTGTGTTAGTGCCAGTGCGCGCCAGTCCCGTCTCTCTCTCTCTCTCTCTCTCTCTCTCTCTCTCTCTCTCTCTCTCTCTCTCTCTCTCTCTCTCTCTCTCTCTCTCTCTCTCTCTCTCTCTCTCTCTCTCTCTCTCTTGATTGATGGGAAGGCGAAACACAGTCCGACCAACGACTGGGACACCAACGCGGTATGGGTGGACGCTAGACGGGCGATGACGGTCACACAGGAGCGACACACAGAACCACAAGACAAGACACTCTCTCCCAGTGTTGTGCGAGGGAGTCCTTTAAGATTCTTTTTGTGGGCTGCAGATGCAGCGCTTGTCTGTCGTTCTCCACACCGCCGTGGCGTGGCAGACGGTGAACGAGCTAGCGTGCGGGGACAGCGGCATTGTGCACGGAAACCTGGTTTGTGGAGCTCCCGCACCTTTCCTAGAGAGCACGGCATTCGGGGCCATGATCTCGGTTCCGCACTGGACTTTTTTTGTAGTGGAGAGAATTAGGGAATCTTTCTGCTCTGGCAGGCAGCTGCATCATTCCCCTTTACTTCAATCAGCTGTGTACACTCAAGTGCTATTACTGTCTGAATAGCTGTCTAGACGCTCCGATTTTGCTGTCTGGACGCTGTCTGGACACTGTCTGGACGCTGTCTGGACGCTGTCTGGACGCTGTCTGGACGCTGTCTGGCTCCGCCGCCTCCGGCTCCGCCTCCACCGTAGCCGCAGCACGCGCCTTCGCCGAGTCGGAGGTCGCTGTAGTCGGTGTCCGAATCGATGGTCGACCCCTCAGACACCTCCGCCTCCGCCTCCGCCGCCTCCCCCGGCACCCGCCCATCCCGATCATCCGCCTCGGCCGCGGTCACAGCCTGCTCGGACGCCTGGTCCGGGCGAGGCGAGCGCCCGCCAGACTGCGGCGAGTCCGCACCGCGTGCACCAGCGACGCGAAGATTCGCTGCCACTGCTGCTGCTGTTGCTTGGGCGGCGAGAAGCGCCGTGTTTGCGGCGTCTGTCGCGGAGGAGGGAGGGCGGTCCGGCGGCGATGGGAAAGGACGGCGTGGCGGCGGCGCAAGCGCGTTCGTTCGCGCGCGCCCCGAGGCCGCCGTCGTGGGTGCAGCGTGCGTGCCTGACTGAACTGCTGGGCTCGCGCTTTGCCCAATGCGCAGCGGCGGGTCGGCGTGGCTACTGCCGGCCCGCAGCTTCTTCATCGGCGGCGCGGGGCTCGCGGCTGCAGCATGGAACCCGACCAATGCGTGCCCACGCTTGCTCTGCCCTTTCCTCAACACCTTTGCGACGTCGGCGTTGCCCCCCACAGTTGCCGCCACAGTTGCCGCTCTGCCCGACTTCTTCGGCGGCACTTTGTGGGGACCCTTCTGTGAAGAGGGCCTGTCTAGACAGCTGTCTAGACAGCTGTCAAGACCAAACTACAAGTTCAAACTTCAAGTTCTCAAGTTCTCTTAGTTCTGCTGTCTAGACGCACCCCCCCCCCCTCAATGGCAAGTAAAGAAAGCGGCATGTGGGTGGGTGGGTGGGTGGGTGGGGGGGGAGTGGCCTCGGCAGGGGTGCTGTCACGGGTCGTCCGGCCACGACTGCGAGACTTTACTGTGAAGAGTGGAGCCATGTGCCGCTGTCTGGACGCTGTCTGGACGCTGTCTGGACGCTGTCTGGACGCTGTCTGGACACTGTCTGGACAAGCTCAGGACTGTCTAGACAGGTGCGGGAGCTCCACAAACCAGGTTCGGAGCTAAGTGCATTGCCGTTCTTAACGGAGTCGCTTAGGCGGCTCCGGTGGTGTGCCGGTGATAGTACTAGCACGCGCCAGTTCGCACCTGTGTCGAGCCTGTGTGCTGTGAGAGAGAGTTGCGTTCTTTAAATTCTTTTTGTGCGGAGGTCGAAGGGGCGTTCCACCACAACACCCCCTCTCCTCTCGCTCGCGCAACCTGGTGCATTCGCCTCGCCGTGCCGCTCTCCGATGCCACAGCCAACCATCTTCGTCGCGGCCACGCGGCAGCATGTCGGAAAGACCACCGTCAGCCTGGCGCTGATGAGCGGCCTGCAGAAACGGTTCAACAAGGTCGGCTTCCTGAAGCCTGTCGGGCAGCAGCACCTACCGGTGCGCGACGAGAGCGGCAACCAGCTTCGCGTCGATAAGGACGTGCAGGTCATGAAGGAGTACTTCAAGCTCGACCACGTGCCCTACTCGGCGATGAGCCCCGTCATCATCCCGTCTGGATACACGGCTCGGTACATCGACGGCGAAGTGTCCAACGAGGCGCAGTGCGCGGCCATCCGGCGAGCGCACGAGACCATCTCGAGCGGCTCGGATGTGGTGCTGGCCGAGGGGACCGGCCACGTCGGCGTCGGCAGCGTGGTGGAGGTCTCCAACGGGACATGTCCGAGACACGTCCGTGACATGTCCGAGACATGTCCATAGGCAGCGTGGTGGAGGTCTCCAACGCTCGCGCCGCCGCGATGATGGGAGCGGAGGTCGTGCTCGTGGCCAACGGCGGCATCGGCAAGGCCTTCTAGAAGCGGAGTACCCACATACTTCCACTCCAACTGTGCGCTCGAGCTGTCTGCTATAGCCACAGCCGCTCCTCGCTGCTCGGTGCGAACAGAGTTCGGACAGCGAGCAGCCGTGAGCTCCGCAACTGTGAACAGCAACTGTGAACAGCAACTGTGAACAGAGTTCGGACAGCGAGCAGCTGGGAGCTCCGCAACTCGAGATATGGGGAGATATGGGGAGATATGGGGAGATATGGGGAGATATGGGGAGCTCCGCAACTCGAGATCCCCTCGAGAGTGCACGGAGTCGGCCGGGGCTATACCAGACAGGCTGTCTGGGGGGGGGGGGGGGGGGGCTTCAAAACCCCTTTGAACCCCCCTCACGGTGGGGACCAAAAAAAATGTTCACCTTGTTCCTCCCTGGGTCTCTTCCCACAGGAGCAGCTGTGAAGCGGCTGCGGCAATAGCAGACAGCCAGACAGGCGCTCGAGAGGACACGTATATCTCCCCATATCTCCCCATATCTCCCCATATACCAGACAGGCGCTCGAGAGGACACGCGTTCAGCCGTATGCCTACGCCCTTAGCTGCATATGCCCACCCGAAGAAGAATTCCAGCGGTGGAGTTCCTCCCCGAAAAGGAAATCCATACTGGTACTCCCCCGGGGCCCCCTACCCCCGCACTGGCTGTGAACCGTCCCCGAACCCATACTGTGAGCTGGTAGCATATGCGAGCCCATTCAGCCGAGTTGATCGTATTGCGGTGCTCTGAAGACACTGCCAAACACCGTCTTCCCGCCCCGAGGCTGGCGGATGCTGCACACGTAGGCAAGGCCTTCGACGAGCTCGGGGAACCTCGGGGAATCTCGGGGAATCTCGGGGAGTCTGCACACGTAGGCAAGGCCTTCGATGAACTCGGGAACCTCGGGGAATCTCGGGGAATCTCGGGGAATCTCGGTGCACGTAGGCAAGGCCTTCGACGAGCTGGAGATGAACCGGATGATGTTTGCGCACGAGGGGGTGCGCGTCCGCGGCGTCGTGCTCAACAAGGCGACCCGAGAGGACCCGAGAGGACCCGAGAGGACCCGAGAGGACCCGAGAGGACCCGAGATTACCCGAGATTACCCGAGATTACCCGAGAGATGAGCCGAGATGACCCGGTGCGTCGTGCTCAAACAAGGTGCGGCCCGACAAGGTCGAGTACGTGCGGTCCAAGATGGGGCGCCTGCTCGAGCAGCGGTGAGGGCGTGCCCTTGCTTGGGGTTTATCTCGCCATATCTCCCCATATCTCCCCAGAGATCTCCCCATCTCTAGGTGGGGCGTGCCCTTGCTCGCGGTTTATCTCGCCATATCTCCCATATCTCCCCATATCTCCCCATCTCTAGGTGGGGCGTGCCCTTGCTTGGGGTTTATCTCGCCATATCTCCCCATATCTCCCCACACCTCCCCATCTCTAGGTGGGGCGTGCCCTTGCTCGGGGTTTATCTCGCCACATCTCCCCATATCTCCCCAGAGATCTCCCCATCTCTAGGTGGGGCGTGCCCTTGCTTGGGGTTTATCTCGCCATATCTCGCCATATCTCCCCACACCTCCCCATCTCTAGGTGGGGCGTGCCCTTGCTTGGGGTTTATCTCGCCATATCTCCCCATATCTCCCTACTCCTCCCCATCTCTAGGTGGGGCGTGCCCTTGCTTGGGGTTTATCTCGCCATATCTCCCCATATCTCCCCAGAGATCTCCCCATCTCTAGGTGGGGCGTGCCCTTGCTTGGGGGAGAGCTCTCCTACCTCCCCATATCTCCCCACACCTCCCCATCTCTAGGTGGGGCGTGCCCTTGCTTGGGGTTTATCTCGCCATATCTCCCCATATCTCCCCAGAGATCTCCCCATCTCTAGGTGGGGCGTGCCCTTGCTTGGGGGAGAGCTCTCCTACCTCCCCATATCTCCCCACACCTCCCCATCTCTAGGTGGGGCGTGCCCTTGCTTGGGGTTTATCTCGCCATATCTCCCCATATCTCCCCAGAGATCTCCCCATCTCTAGGTGGGGCGTGCCCTTGCTTGGGGGAGAGCTCTCCTACCTCCCCATATCTCCCCACACCTCCCCATCTCTAGGTGGGGCGTGCCCTTGCTTGGGGTTTATCTCGCCATATCTCCCCATATCTCCCCACACCTCCCCATCTCTAGGTGGGGCGTGCCCTTGCTTGGGGTTTATCTCGCCATATCTCCCCATATCTCCCCACACCTCCCCACCTCTAGGTGGGGCGTGCCCTTGCTTGGGGTGGTGCCGGAGCTCTCCTACTTGAGCAAGCCAACGCTGGCCGAGCTAGAGAGGGCGCTCGACAGCCTTATCTCCCCCCATCTCCCCCCATCTCTCTCCATCTCTCTCCATCTCTCTCCATCTCTCCTCCATCTCTCTCCCCATCTCTCCCCACCTCTCCCCATCTCCCCCCCCCTCCCCCCATCTCTCTCCATCTCTCCTCCATCTCTCCCCATCTCTCCCCATCTCTCCTCCATCTCTCCTCCATATCTCCCCATATTCCTCCATCTCTCCCCATCTCTCCCCATCTCTCCCCATCTCTCCCCATCTCTCCCCATCTCTCCTCCATATCTGGCCGAGCTGGAAAAGGCGCTCGACGGCGACCTGCTCGCCGGCCACCGCTGCCGCTCACTCCACTACGGCGTCGAGAACTCGTTCCTTGTCACCACCGGCCTGCGCCGCTAGACGCTGAACACGTATTCCTGTCTCCCAACTAGCGCTCGAGAGGACACGTACTCCGCTGTATTCACCCGTATTCCGCTGTATCCGCTGTATCCGCATCCCTCGTCCTCACGCGGTGCTCTGAAGACGCCGCACAATACCGTCTTTCCGGCCCCGAGGCTGGCGTGTTCACAACGCAGCATGCCTGTATCACCCCATATCTCCCCATTCTCCCGCCCCGAGGCTGGCGTGCCCACAGCGCAGCATGCCTGTATCTCCCCATATCTCCCCATATCTCCCGCCCCGAGGCTGGCGTGTTCACAGCGCAGGATGCCGATATCTCCCCATATCTCCCCATATCTCCCGCCCCGAGGCTGGCGTGTTCACAACGCAGGCCTGCGCCGCTTCCTGCGGCGCGCGTTCGAGCAGCGGAGCCCGGGCGAGTGGAGGCGGCCTAATGAACTAACTACCTGATTACCTGGTTTTAATGAACTAATGAATTAAGCCCGAGCGAGTGGAGGCGGCCTAATGAACTAACTAGTTGATTACCTGGTTTTAATGAACTAATGAATTAAGCCCGAGCGAGTGGAGGCGGCCTAATGAACTAACTAGTTGATTACCTGGTTTTAATGAACTAATGAATTAAGCCCGAGCGAGTGGAGGCGGCCTAACTAACTAACGAACCAATAGGTGGATTAATCAATGAGTTCAGCCCGAGTAGGCGGCCGCTCTTTGTGACGCACGTGACGCGCGACGACCTGCTGCTCGGCTACCTGGCACAGCACCAGCGGCTGATTAGCTAATTAGGCTGGTTAATTAGTTAATTAGTTAATTAGGCTACCTGGCACAGCACCAGCGGCTGATGACGGCGCAGAGCGGCGCGGTCGACGGGCCGCGCGACTGGGCGGGCGCGATGGTGCTCAGCACAGGCGCCTCCAAGGGCATATCTCCCCATATCTCCCCATCTCTCCCCATCTCTCCTCGTATCTCCCCATCTCTCCCCATCTCTCCCCATCTCTCCCCACATCTCGCGTGCACAGGCGCCTCCAAGGGCTTCCCTGTATCTCCCCATATCTCCCCATCTCTCCCCAAACCTCCCCACACCTCGCGTGCACAGGCGCCTCCAAGGGCTTCCCTGTATCTCCCCATCTCTCCCCATCTCTCCCCATCTCTCCCCATCTCTCCCATATCTCGCGTGCACAGGCGCCTCCAAGGGCTTCCCGGACAAGGAGGCCTTCCCCGACGACACGGAGCCGCTGACGTACCTCACCCAGATGGCGAAGGACTCGAATGCGCCGGTCCTCATCACGCGCTACGGCACCCTCGACGCGCTCCACATCATCGAGAGCTACACCGCGAAGCACTCGATCCACGACACGGCCCGCGTGAGCGCGGCGGTCGCGCACTATGAGCCAAACATCGACTTTGACGCGCTGCTCCAAGGCTGATACATCCCTCCGTTTAATTATTTGTTTAAGCAGTCGTTAGCCTGTCGTTAGCGTTTCATTCTTCATAGCATGTAAGGTAAGGTAAGAGGTACGTCGGTACGGGGCGGAGCGGACCGTGAGTTGAGGAAATCGAGGGACGCGACCCACTTCGCCACAGACGGTCCCGCGGCCGCCTCGCCGCTAAGACGGCGACACGGCCGCAGCTCGTGTGCGTGTCGCCGTCTTTGTCCGGAGTGAAAAGTCCAACGCGCTCGTCGGTGACGGTGTCCCTCAACCTGCGCCGCGCTCGGCGAACCTCGACAGCGCTTTCGGTGGCATGCAGCTCTTTGCGACAGAAGCCTGGAGAGCAGCGCTCCTCTGCTGCTCACACACTCTGCACAGTTGACACAGCCTACTGTGCGGCTGCCACAGCTGTGACAGCGATGGGCTCGCCCTCACTGGCCCTCAGTCACTTGTGCTGCGGCTTGTGTGAGCGACACTGCTCGGCGACTGCCGGCACACTGTGAGACCATGGGTGTGAGGTCAAACCACGCTACCAGCGCTTGGTCACATCGGCCCCGAGGTCAGATCCTTCTACTCTGTTGATGACAAGACTTGTCTACTGGCTGGAGCCGAGCAGGAGGGCCCAGCGCACAACCCCTGGTCAACTCAGGGTCCACACCCTCTAGAGCCGTACGTAAGGCCTCTTCTCCGGACACACACACACACAGGTGGTTGGGGCATAGTATGAAGAGGTGGCCGAGAGTTTTAAAATTTGCCCCTAACGCGTCCACCCTCCGTCCAATCGAGCCGTCCCCTCTTTTACATACATAAATTGTGGGAAAGGCTAAAGCGATACTTTTCGAACGAGGTCGAGGAGATCGCGCCGCGCGGTCACATGGCGGACGTCGGCGGATGACATATGGGGACCATGTGGAAGACGGCTAGTGCTAGTCCCCCATCGTGAGGAAGACCCCGGCTCGTAGTCGCCAACCACACCCACAAAGAACCCTGCCGACAAAGATCGCACGGGCGGGGACCTGTTTATTTTTCATTGGGAAAAACAAAAATGCGGGCGGGGAAAACAAAAAAACAAAAATGGTGTTTCCTATCACGAAGTCACAAAGTCACTTGATGCGCTCGAGTTGCACGTCAAACAGCAGTGACGCATCCCGGTTCGGGTTCTTGACGATCGACTCCAGCGACCTCAGATCCTGGAAGCTCTCGGGCGTAGGCCCGAGGCTCATATCCGCGTCGTAGCCCAGGCTGGCCGGTATCACCGCTCGCCTGTACCCGCCCTTGGACATGCCGAGAACAGCCGCCTCGAGCCCGGGGATCACCGTGGCCGACCCTAGCTTGAAGACGAACGGCTCGCTGATGGCCAGACCGGACGTCTTGGCGGCGGCGTCCTGTGTGCTGATGAACTTCTTCCCGTTGAGGTTGAGGCAGCGACCCGAGTACTGAACAAACACAGTGTCGCCGATCTTGGCCGCTGGGCCCGTCCCGGCCCGCACCTCCTTCACCTTCACGCCGCTTGCAAGTGACGTGTAGTCCGCGCCGGCGTTCAGCGTGGATACGGCGGTGAGAGTCGGGTCGGAGTTGGCTATCGCACCCAGCGGCCGCACCGTCACGGCAGCCGCGGCCGCTGAACGGATGACCAGGCGACGGGAGGCGTGGCCAGCAGCGGGGAGGAGGAGGATCGCCGCGCGAAGGAGACTCCCCATGTCAGTGCCTGCACTCGCTGCAACTCCGAGCTCAAAAAAAAATTAACGTGCGTCATACTCGGCACGGGACTGGCGCGCACTGGCACAAGAATCTTGCAACACAAGCCTCTCTCACAGCACGCTGGCACGACAAGGGCGCGGACTGGCGCGGACTGGCACACACACCGGCTCACCACCGGAGCCGCCTAGCGACTCCGTTAAGAACGGCAATGCACTCCGCACCATGCACAATGCCGCTCTCCCCGCACGCTAGCTCGTTCACCGTCTGCCACGCCACAGCGGTGTGGAGAGAACGACAGACAAACGCTGCATTTGCAGGCCGTGCCAGTTCTTGGTGAGTTCTTGGTTGTCCATGTGACCTCGTGCTGAGCAAGGGAAAAAAGCAAAAACCCAAGAGAGAGAAGAATATAAACCCAGCGTGACGTCCCTGCTTTATAAATAACAAAAAAAGCAAAAGCAATCGCGATCTCGTCGCCAGGCCCTCTGCCTTTGCCCTCTCGTATTGCTCCCTCTGCTCTCGTATTGCTCCCTTTGTCCTCTCGTCGCCGCAATGGAGGCCCTCACGCCCACGCCGAAGCCAACACGCTTTACTTTCGTCAAGCTCATTGGCCTTCAGAGCCGACAGGACCTCAACGGTACTCACGGATTTTGCATCGCCGAGGACCCAGCTACCAATCGGTGCATCGTGCGACGAGTGACAGGCGAGACAGTCAAGGTGAAGTTTTCCAACCTCACCTTGGCGTCGCCGCCTGCCAACCCAGCGTTTGGATCGCTCGAGCGCGTGTCACTGCCTACTCGCGCGCGCACGAACGCGCTGGCTGGCGATGCGCTGCGAATGTACGAGCTGATTTTCACTGGCGACCACCTGGACTTCGATGTGAGCTGCCCCACGAATAGTGCGGGCGCCTTTGTACTCGAGGTCCGCGTCCTTCCGGCGGCAGGCCTTTCTGGAACCGTTGGTCAGCTGACATGGGGCGTCGCTGTGTTGCCATGCTTTGAGTACAGCGCCATGCTTCAAGCGGTTGCAAAGGATGAAAGCTACCTCCGCCACGTGTCTGATGACGATAAGCTTGCGCGTGCCTTGCTCTTGCGCGTGATGCACTTGTTTCTCCGCTCTCTGACGACCTCCGAGATTACCGACGACATGATCTTTTCCATTGAACGCGAGCTCATCTCGCAGTATCGCGACTTGAAGATGTGGGTTGAGCTCGTGGACTTTTACACGTGCGCTCTCGACGCGTCGCTCGCGGGTGCACGAAACGGTCCCAAGGTGGCTTCTCTGCAGCCTGGCTTTGTCGGCGTCGCCGCTCGCTGCGAGCTTGAAACGGCCCTCGCCGAGGCGCTCGAGGCATGCGGCCGTTTTGAGGAAGCAGCTGCATTATACGAAGAGGCTGCTCGTGTGCTCATCGCCGCGGGGGGGGGCAAGCAGGTGTCTGTCTACCTTGTCAACGCGGGGCTCGCGTACAAGCGCGCCTGCCGCTGGGCTACATCGGAGACGCTCTACGTGGAAGCCGTCAGGACGGCGATGAAAGACAAGTTAGATCTTCAGCATTGCAGCAGCGGCCTCGCGAATCTCGTCTGCTTGTATTCAGCGCAGAGGACCGACTTGCAGAAGCAGACAGGCAAAGGCCTCTGTTGGGACGACGCGATCGCCGACCTCTCTCGCGTCGAGACGAGCCTCATGTCCCTACTGGGCGTCGCTGAGGTCGACACGACCTTTATTGACTCGTACGGCGCGGCAACGACTACAGCCTTGCTGCTACCTGCCTTTCAGAAGAAGAAGCTCGCCGTGAAAACTCTCTTCCGGCTAACGCAAGCACCCGACGTGGCCTCCTTTCGAGACATATTGCGATCGTGCGCGGACCCGAACAAGCTTGCCCACTCCGTGTCACCATGCCAGGAATCTGCGGAGCAAACTGCCAAGAGGGAGCGATCTTTGGCGAGAGTCACAGCGCAGCTGAGTGACTACGGCACCGAGCGCATTCAAGCTTTAAAGGTATGCGCGGAGTGCGGCACCAAGTGGAACGGAAATCCGGCGGACCAATTGAAGCGATGCTCGCGGTGTCACATGGTTGCCTACTGTAGCGCAGAGTGCCAGCGCGCGCACTGGAAGAAGACGCACAAGCACGAGTGCTCACAGCTCGCTACCAGCAGAAATGCGATGAGTTCGGGGAGCATTGAGGAAATCATCGATAAGATGCTTCGCCACGAAGAGAGCATGAAGGGTGAACCGCAAGAAGACCCGTGAACCGCAAGACCCGTGTTCTGCCACGGCTGGCCCGCCCGCCCTGTTGTCAAGCGTTGTGCTGTAGACGGGTGTGGGTGTGGGTTGTCGCTGACTGGGGGGAGTGGGGACTGACCGAGCGGCTCTACATAGAGACTTTGTTAGATGTTGGCGATTCACGTACCACACCCACACGCAGACGAGAAGAGAAGAGAAGTAGACGTCGATTTTCTTCTTCTAGAAGAATTTTGAGCTCGCCTCAAAAAGAATTATGCCGAGCGTGTGTTTCGTATCAAGAATACTCACTCACATCTCACTCACACGACACACGTACGCCGAGCTTCTTATACGTATTATATGTGTCCAGCTAATAGGATTTGCCGGTATCGATGACATCGAGGCGCGCTCGAAAAGTTAACTTGCCCCTGCTGCGACAGCAGCTACGCAGCTCACGTTACTGCGAAAAGAATTTTGTTGGGGAGCCACGTGGCAAAACTCCGCCGCATCGCGCGTCCGTCGCCCGTCATGGCCGTCTCCACGTGGCTGCCGGACGTGAGAGCGGTGAGCGACGCCGCAGGGAGTCGGGCCAGTGCGTGCCTCGACAAGCAGCGGCGTCACCGCCCGCCTCGCGCCGCCACGGATCCCACGCCCATCCAGGCGGAGTGACCCGCCGCCACCCCGCCCCCGACTGCAACGCCCGGCCGGGCTGTGACCAATCTTCTCTCTCCCTGCTCCTACTGCCACTGCGCCACCCGCCCCGGCCTCGCGCGCCGCAGGTGGTCTATGGCGCGACTCTGCTCGGGCATGACGCAGTCGCCACTCAGGCACAATCCTCGCCCCCGCCTCTTAAGCCAAGCACCAACGGGCGCTGATTACCCGCAGCAGCGTTGACCGTCAGGCGGCCGCCATTGAAGCTCAGCTCGAGTCGCTCGGTGCTATCGGGCTGCTGCGGGCGACGGGCGTGACGGTGCACCTCGTGCTAAGCCACGCAACCTCTGCGTACATGCGCGGCTTCTACTCGCCGGCCAAGGCCTCCGTGGCGGCAAACAGCGCGCTCGTGCAGGGCCTCTTGCTGGCGATACCGATGCGCGTGCATTCCTTGATTGCAGGTGGGCTCCAATCAGACGGGTAGCGACGCCATGAGCCGCTTGTCGCGAGCAGCCGCCCGCCTGTCTGGATCGACGGCGGTCGTGCACCGGCGGGTGGGTGAGAGCGTCTTGGCGCTCCTCCGTCGAGCAACTTGCACGCCGCTCTCAGGGTGGACGGCGTTGCTATAGGGAGGAACTTATTCGAGTGGCCAGCAGTGCACCTATTATGGCGGCTCGCGTGCGCCCAGCCGCACCATCTCTTTCTCTACATGCACAACAAGGGCGCGACGCGGCATAAACACCCCGGCGTGCGCGCGCGCATCGCCGCCGACATCGGGCAAGTCGGCCTCTGAGCTATGCACACACGCTAGGTACGCGCCGGACGCTGGAAGAGATGGTGCTCTTTCAGGAGGTGGTGGCCGGATGGCGGGCGGTGCAGGCTGTAGATGCATACGGGTGAGGGTGGGCACAAGGAGAGCCACATCGCTGACGCGCAGCTTGACTTGAGAGGTGTCCGGCGCAAGGTGCGCCGCCTATTCGAGCTGATGCCCGAGGTGCAGCACGCTGGGCTGGTCCCCGCCACGGACGGCTGGGAGTGGTATAACTTCTTCTGGACGCGAGGCGCTTACGCGAGGCGCGCGGCAGGAGAGCCTCCTAGCCGCACATGACTGAATGCTGACCCCGGCGCAAAGGTCGACAGGACGCGCGCGCCGCCAAACGTCACGTCGAATCGTTACCACTACGAGTCATGGCTCGGCCGAAGGGCGGCGCGGCCGGCGCTGGAGTGCGCCGCGCACGACACGGCGGAGCTCGCCGCGCGATCGACGGGCGGAGGCGGAGGGTCGGCCGTGGCGGCGGCGGACGCTGGGCTGGCAACGGCACGGCTGGCGCCGCGCGTGGCGGCGGCAACGCCCGGTTGGAGCGGGGCCTACACATATGACGGATGTACCGCCAGCCTGTGCCTCGCGGACTGCGAGGTTGATCGCTGCGCGACAGCGCAGGCTGCAAACAAGCAGCTGGCGGCCATGACGAGGGAGCTTCGCGAGAAATATGAGTCAGCGGTGCAGAACGGGAGCAGCCGCTCGGCCGGAGGCTCGGGCAAGAGCAGCGCAGAGCAGATGGCGGTGCCGCTTGGGCACACGCGAGAGATGGTCAGAGCTCTTCTCTAGGAAACAGCGGCGGTCCCAAAAAACTCGTTTACGCCTCTTCTGCATCAGTGGAGGGGGGGTCTCGCATCTTCACAAAACCACAACGTGTCGCACCACTCTCTCGCTTCATGGGAGTGGTCAGGCGCCCACTGTCGACTCTGCCGCACGGCCCCTGGAGGTGTCGCCTTGCGCGTACTCCCGCACGGCTGGCAGGAATTCGAGAATCGCCGCGGCCACCGCCTCGGGCGCGTCGTCCTGCGGGCAGTGCCCTCCCGCCTCGAGGCGGCACACCTTCACCCCAGGCCGGAGCCGCTCGAAGGCGTCGGCGCGCTCACTGGCGCGCGCCGGGCCCGAGACCTTGTCGTTCATGCCCTGAGGCACCAGCACCGGCCCGCCGAAGCCGCCCGCTTCGCCGTCGAGCACCTCGTTCAGCGGCCGGTTTGTGGCGAGCTTCTGGCCAGAGCCGATCACGTTTGCCGCGCCCGGGGAGCACGCCCCTTGCGTGATGGCGAACGCGAGCGCCTCGTCCGCGTTGGCCGGGCGGTCGCCGTAGATGCCGTCGAGGAGCGCGGGGACGCGCGGGAAGAGGGCGGCGACGAGGGCGGCGCCGAACGCGTCCAGGGCGGGCTGGCCGAAGAGCGGGACGGGGGCGAACGGCGCCGCGTGCTCGCCGCGCAGCGTCGCGTCGCGCACCAGCATGCGTGGCGCCGCGTACTCTGCCGGCTCCTCGAGCACGCCGGCCGTGTTGCAGAGGATCAGACCTAATCTCGCGTGATCTCGCGTGATCTCGCGCCATCTCGCCGCAGAGGATCAGACCCTTGGCATATGGGGAGATATGGGGAGATATGGGGAGATATGGGGAGATATGGGGAGATGTGGGGAGATATGGGGAGATATGGGGAGATGTGGGGAGATATGGGGAGATGGCGGGTCAGGTACTGCCCACCCCACCTAGAGAGGGGAGAGACGGGGAGATATGGGGAGATGTGGGGAGATACGGGGAGATATGGGGAGATGTGGAGAGATGGCGGGTCAGGCACTGCCCGCCCCACCTAGAGATGGGAGATATGGGGAGATATGGGGAGATGGCGGGTCAGGTACTGCCCACCCCACCTAGAGAGGGGAGAGACGGGGAGATATGGGGAGATGTGGGGAGATACGGGGAGATATGGGGAGATGTGGGGAGATGGCGGGTCAGGTACTGCCCGCCCCACCTAGAGATGGGAGATATGGGGATATGGGGAGATGTGGGGAGATGTGGGGAGATATGGGGAGATGGCGGGTCAGGCACTGCCCGCCCCACCTAGAGAAGGACCACCAGCCAGCAAGACTCAAGCGTGACTGCGGGTAGCTCTGTCTCTCCCCATATCTCCCCGTACCCCCCCACATCCCCCCATCTCTCAAGCGCGACTGAGTAGCGGGTAGCTCCACGCTGGGGAGTCGGACCGCCGCAAGCGGCGTGGCGGCGTGCTGCACTGGCATTGTCTCCGGGTCACACCTCGCTCCCTCGGCGATGGCTCGGCGATGTCTCGGCTAGATCTCGCCCAACCTCCAGTACGCCAGCTCGTCGGGACGTGCGCGCGCGTCCCCGCGCTGCGCCCTCTCCGCCACGGCCGTGCCCGCCTCCCCCGCCTCCCGTAGAGCGAGCGAGCGGCGGGCGAGGAGCGTGAACCACTCCCGCCACTCGGCAACGTCTGCGAGCGCGCCAAGCCGCGACCGGCCCCAGAGCTGCGCGTCGTCGGGCGGCGCCTGATGGGGACAATTCGTCGCGACTGGAGGAATTACGGCTCTCTGATGCCCAATGCGTGCACGCGTCCCTCTCTGTATGTGTGGGTTCGTGTGTGTGCGGGGGCCCTCCTTGTCTCTGCCCAGACAGTGTGTGAGGTAGCACCTACCTACCTACCTCCAACTCGACAGGTACCTCCCCTACGAGCGTTGAGAGGTACCGAACACCTGCCTCTCTACCTACCTACCGGATGAACTGATCACCGGCCCTAGAGTCGCGCCTCGTCGGAGTTCGGCGCCGGAGGGGCGAGTTGTGATCGGATCCAGCCCACTCTGATTCCGGCTGTCTCTCGGCTGTCTCTCGGCTGTCTCTCGGCTCTCTCTCGGCTCTCTCTCGGCTGTCTCTCGGCTGTCTCTCGGCTGTCTCTCTCGGCTGTACCTCGGCTGTACCTCGGCTCTACCTCGGCTCTACCTCGGCTCTACCTCGGCAATGTCTCGGCAATGTCTCGGCGATGTCTCGGCTAGCTCTCGGCGCCTCGCCAGCCGCGCGGCTATACCCCGGCTCGCCCTCGCGCGCCGCCGCCCTCACCTCTCGCGCAGACACCGCCCCGACGGCGAGCGCCGGGCCAATCGCGCGCGTCGCAGCCTAATCATAAGAAGGGTCCGAGAAGGGTCCGAGAAGGCTCGAGAAGGTTCCAAGGCCCACCGCGCGCGTCGCAGCCTCCCGCAGCGCGAAGACGCGAGAAGCGGGGCCGCCTGCCAGCGTAGCGACGGGGGAGATATCTGGGGAGATACGGGGAGATACGGGCCCGCCTGCTACGAGGCGCGGCGAGCGAGGGAGGGAGAGAGGGAGAGGCAGCAGCCCAAGCCCCTTGGGCCCACCCCTTCCTCTCGCCTGGCGTTATGGGTGAGGTGTGGTTGCTTGCTTCGAAGCGTCGCTCCCCACTACTGCCGCTACTACTACTACTACTACTACTACTACTACCTGCCAGCCGCTTATGCCCCGTGGCTACTACCACTGCTACTACTACTACTACTACTACTACCACTACTACTACTACTACTACCACTACTACCACTACTGCCTGCTACTACTACTACTACTACCACTACTGCTGCTGCTGCCTGCCAGCAGCCGCTCGTGCCCCGCGCAATGGAGCGACGGAGAGCCGCCGCCCGACGGCGGGCACGCGCGCGAAAAAGTGGCGTCGGCAAACGCGGCGGCGCCGTCGACGACGTACGTCCGCAGCGCCGCGCTCGCCGCGCCGCGCCCGCACATGGCGAGGGCGACCTCCTCAAACGGCTGCTCAGTGGAGGCGGCGCTGCCGCGCGCCGCAGCGTCACGCACCGCCGGCGCCGCCGCCACCGCCGCCTCGGCGATCCACGCCTCCACACCCGGGAGGCCCTCCGAAGTAGGGCACCTGCAAGAAGGTTCCGAGACGGCTCCGAGACGGTTCGAGAAGGCTCCAAGGCCCTCCGAAGTAGGGCACGGCTCCAGCGGCGTCAGCGCCTAAGGAATCGATTCGCCACGTGACTGGCCGTCCGAAGTAGGGCTCGCCTCCAGCGGCGCCAGCGCCTTGGGCGCGCCCGCCGCCGCCACCAGCGTACACGCACGCGCGGCAGAGGCGTACTCGGGAAAGGTTGGCGGCAGGCTTGCGGCGGCGGCGCCGCTCCACGGACATCCGCTCCGCAGCGCTCCGTCCCACCGGCGCAGAGCAACACCTGGTAGCCAATTTGACTACTTGCGTACCTCTCCCTCCTCATTCCTCTCGCCGCTGGCGGTGCAGAGGTCGACGCCCGAGTCTGCGAGCGCAGCGCAGGCGGCGCGCTGGCTGACCCGCATCGGTGCCTCGACGTCGTCGGCGACCACGTGACAGGCCGTGGCGCCTGCAGGAAGAGGGGTCGGACCAGGTCTCATGACACACTGTGCTCGTGTGTAGCGCCGCGACGTGCGGTGCCTAGTCGATGCACAGCCAAGGCGTCACTTTGTCGCGGCCCTTGTGCATCGTTGGCCCGACTGGCAGGCCGTGGCGCCGCACTCTTGCGCCACCTGCGGCAGCACGGCGGACGCGCCGCCGCGGCGGACCACGAGCGTCACGCCGTACTCCTCGCTCAGCGCAGCCTCGAGGCTCGAGAGGGCCCGGTGCAGCCGGCGCAGGCGCGGAGGCGGGTACGAGAGATGGACGGCCGGGTCGAGCACGAAGACGGGCACCACGGCACCGGCGGCGCTGGCCGCCTCGAAGCCGCCGTGGTCGCTCAGTCTGAGGTCCTCGGCGCCGGTGAGCCAGACAAGCTGTGCACCGGCCCCGTCCGCAGCAGCTGCAGCAGAGGACCTCTGCCGCAAAGGATGGTGCTGTACGGCGTGGATGAACGGCCGCACAGCCACTAGAGCACGCGACGGGGCGAGGAGGAGGAAGGAGGAGAGCCAGTTCGCCAAGCGCGGACGAGGGCGAACGAGGTGTGGCGGTGTGACCATATGACCATGAAGCCGATACAATTGTCCCGGGGTACGTAGGATTCGGTACTTCAGCTTGGTATGGTACATTAAATGGCTGGGGGACCACCCATTCGCCTTCCCATCAATCAATCAATCAATCAATCAATCAATCAATCAATCACCCATACCGCGTTGGTGTCCAGTCCGAGCCTGGCTGTTCTTCACCTTTCTACCTCCCTAACTGTGAGTGTGTTGAGTGTGTGTCTCACACACTCACTCACACTCACACTCACACTCGAGGGGGTATCAATTTGTAGGGAAGAATTTTGATACCCGTCAAGACGCCTGTTGGGGCTGCTTCGTAACGAAGCCGTCTTCTCCCCCAGCAGGTACACACTAGACAGATAGGTACTGGCGACGCGCTCAGACTGACGTCAGCTCTGCTTCTGTCTAGGGTACGCTATCTCACCGTCTTATCCTACCAACCAGCACGATCTGGGGGCGGGTTACAGCGTCTGGGGGCGGGCTACATGCGCTCGCGGGGCTGCCCGACGGGGCTGGCCTCGTGCCGATGGACCCAGCCGAGGTGCCCAACCATGGAAGCCAACCTGCACAATGAGGAGGCGACATAGGTGAATGGTGTGTGCACAGACAGAGGATTCATTGATGCTACCTTCATTGAGATGTTTGTTAGTCTAAAATCCAGAATCCCATCTTTCCAGCCAGTCCCATAAAGTGGGCCGTGTCTCTCCCCTCTGGACCCGCCGACATCCCTCTCCCTCCCCGCATCTTCCGTGCCGCCTTCCCTTCCCCTAATATTGACTTTGCTGAGCTCTGATGCCGAGGTCCTACTCAGATCCTCTCTGTGTGTGATCATCATTGCTCCGCTCGTGTGGGACAGCTCCCAGGAGAGGTGCTGGCTTGTTCGTGGGCGTGGGAGGTGTGTGGGGATGACGCGGAGGTGCGGGCTGAAGCGGGCATATGCGAGTTTAGGGCCTTATTCTGATATCAAATTGATCATGCATGGTGGTGAGAAGGTTTGCACGAAGGCCACCTTTAAGTGGACTTGGAGCACTTGTTCTCATCCGCAGTATGTTGGAGCCTCCCGCTGGACCACCAACTTAGTGTGTCTCTTTGCGGATGAAATTCCTCATAGGTGGATCCGCACGCCACAGCACTGGACCTCTGAACTGAGGACCTCGCCCACACTGAGGACCTCTGTCTTTGCACTGAGGAGACCTGTGTGATCAGTTGTATCTCTGCCCGTGTGTGGGAGAGCTCCACGCAGGAGAGGTGCTGAGCTGGTTTCGCGGGCGTGGGGAGGGGCGCGCGCGCGTTGACGAGTGGTGCGGGCTGGAGCTCCGGCATTCCGTGTTCAGGTCTTGTATATCAAGTACAACTGAACATGAAATGGTGAGATGTGAGATGTGTGCTTCTGTAGTGCACACTGCAAGCATGTTTTGCAACAGTCATCCCGATTCGCACCTCGCTCGCAGCGAGATTTGTTTTTCTTTTTATCTGAAGGAAGCGCAGAGCCGACGCTCCTGCTGCCGCTCGCCGCCGACATCCGCGCAAAGGAGGTCCGCCTCGGCCTAGCCTCGCCGCCCTTCCCTCTCGTGTCCTCTTCCGCCTGCTATCACCCTGCTCCTGCCACTCGTGCTCCTGCTCCTCCGTCTCTCCCTCTCCTCGACTCGCCTCCTCGCGCCGGCGCACACCTCGCCAGCGCACACGCCTCTTCACTCCGCAGGTCCGGCTCGACCTCACCTCGCAGACGGTCAAGGTGGCGGTGCACGGCGAATCACCTCGCGGCGGCGCGATGAAAGTGCGAATGCTTCTTGCGCTCACGGCGCTGCCACGCTCCGTGGCGACGACGCCACACCCTCTCTTTGCGTGGCTCGCAACGTGCGGCACTGAAGAAAGCATTCCCATTGAGCTTCGGGCGTCGTGCTGCGGCGATGGAATCGGAGCGTTCCTTACACGGCCAATGCAAGCCGGCGAAGTGGTCTTTGCCATACCTGCCTCATCATTCATCTCGCTGAGCACCGCGCTAAACCACCCTACGCTCGGAGCAGCGTTCCAGCAGCTTTGGGACTCGTCGAGCGACGGCGGCGTGGCATTGCTCGCTGGATTGGTGGCGCACCTTCAGCTGAACGGCGGAGAGCCGCATGCCTACCTGAGCATGCTGCCCAGCAGCCTGGCGACGCAAAACTCTGTGCTCTGGTGGACGGACGACGAGGTCGCGCTGCTCGCCGGCACGAGCGCGCACGACGAGGCGATCAGCCTTCGTGCGGAGGCCGACGAAGCCATCGACTTGCTGAAAAACACCGCGCTGTCAGCCGACGTGGCTTTGCACGGCGAGGCCGCCGTGGCCGATGCCATGCGCGCCGCGCTCGTCGGCGTGCTCAGCCGCGCGTACGCGGTGCTCGGCGAGGGCGGCCGTCCCTGCAAGACTCTCGTCCCTCTGCTGGACGCGATCAATCACCATTCCGCCGCACCTACCATTGACTACTTGTTTACGGGCGCGCCGGGCGATGAGGGCGGCGGCGCGGGTGCGGGGCTGCTGATTGCGCGCTCGCTGTGCGATCAGCCCGCCGGTGCGGAGCTTCTCGTGTCTTATGGCGAGCAACCCGACTTGCTCTTCGGCCTTCACTATGGCTTCGTCCCGCCGCCAGACTACGAGGCGCGTACGCTGGCAGAGGAGGTCGAAGCGGTGCGCGACGAGCTTCTCGCGGAGGCTGCGGCGGCTGTGCGTGAGTCGCCGCTAGGGGCCTCTGAAGGAAGGGGTGCAAATGCTGATGCGCTGCGCGCGGCGGCGTTCATGCGGCTCGAGGCGATCAAGCGAGGCGCGGAGCGCGCGCGCGACACCGCTGGCGGGCGCTCCGTGCGCGCATGCTCTGCGTCGCTGGCGCTGGCGCTACGCCAGTCGGAGAAGCGAGTGCTGCAGCACGGCGCTCTAATGGCGGCGAGGAGACTTGGACGCGAAGGCCGATTTCTCTTCGTTGATTTGTACTAGTTTAGGAGTTGTACAAGATCACACGCAGTGGGAGCTGGGACGTGGGACCCCGCCGTTTGGTGCTAAACTGTAGGTGGAGCTCTCTAAACTACACGACAGTAAGAAACTCAGTAACTCTTACAGTGACTTTGTGTTAGAAACCGCCGTTTCTGGCCAGCCAGCCAGGGTTTCGAGAGCGCCCGCTTCGGCTTAGTGGTAAAAAAGTAAGAAACCCGCGGGGCTGGTTTCTTACCGAGTACGGTACCGTCGGTAGGGTGCACACACACAGGACCCAGAAGAAAATAGCTTTCCGGCTCAACAAGGGACGCACGAGGCAAATCTGATGTTGGAGGGTTCCAATAGGAGCGAGGCCTCTTCCGTTGGGGGACCGAGTGACTAGGAAACGAGGGTTCCCCATTGTGTCCCGCTCCAGCGCTAGTGCTAGTCCCCCATCGGGAGGACGACCCCGGCTAGTCGCCGACCACACCCACAAAGAACCCTGCACAAAGATCGCACGGGCGGGGGCCTGTTCCTTTTTACCCATCTCACAGTAGAGGTGTCCGTTTTTATTTATCCCGCTCCAGCGCGAGCGTGACACTGCACTTGGCGCCGAGCGCCCGCGGCTCAGACCTTGTGCAAGCCGACCCTCGGTGGAAGCACCGGTCCGGACCGATGGCGCTCGGTGTGGAGCAAGCAAGACACACCCACCCCCCATCGGCGCGCGCCCGACCTTTGAACGGCCGCCAGGAGCACCAAGAGGACTCCTCATGGCTGCTTCCAAGGGGGCTTCGACCGGCTTTGGCTGGGGGGGCGGGTTGTCCCGGTTGCGGACGCCTTCTGCAGCCCCCTGGGATGGGGACAGCACCCCAAAACTGCCCCCTCGGCGGCATACAGCACTGCCAGCCAGCCTCTTCCTCCTCCTCAAGGGCTGTACTATAGGCCATATATTGCGCCGCCTCGTCCTAGCTCCTACTGGCAGCCGGGCGGGCGCGCGCCGCGCGCGCGCCTCGGCGCGCGCACGGCTCCTGGGCTCCGTTTACCTCTACCTCCGGCGGTCTGAGACAGGTTTACCTTTACCTGAGGCCCCCCAGGCCAGCCCTACCTCTACCTGCGCCCCCGCCCTCCGGGCCGATTAGCTCCGGCTACCTTACCTGACCTGCGGCCCCTCCGAAAAGCCGACCACGAAGAATGGGCCGACTTAGGGTTAGAGTTTTGGTGGGCGGCACAGTCAAATTGCGTGATACTTTATCCTTCGCGCGCGCCGCGCGCACCGCCAGAGCAACATTGCGCCCACCAACCCCGCCGCCGCCAGCAACCGTGGCGGCGCGCGGCGCACCGCATGCGCAAAGTGCTGCGCGCGCACACCGAGGGGTCCGTTGAGCGGCACGACCACGCGCCAATTCTGCACGAGCAGCATCTCGCGGAAGATCGCCTGTCGAGACGTGCGGCTGTGAAGACGCGTCCTCACCTGCGTGGCGGCCTGCTCCTGCGGGACAAGGGCCCGCTCGACGAGCGGCAGCGCGCGGGAGGCGAGGAAGGCCGGGTACATGAAGTAGTGCGACGCGCCGTCGGCGGCGGCGAAGAGCAAGTTCCACTGCGTGTGCATTGGGAGCAGCTCCGGCAGCGGCGCAGACTCGTTGGCCCAAGGGCCCAGCCGCCCGCCGTGCCACTCGAGCAGCGCGACCGAGAGGAAGGGGTCGCCCTGCCGGAAGGTCCATGGCGTGCACACGGACTTGCCTGCGCGGTCCCACACGTAGCCGGGATACCCGCCCGCCTCCTCGCGCGCCGCGTCGAGCGTGCAGATGATCCTCGAGCGCCCGCCCGGAAGCCGGTCGATGCGCTTCAGCAGCAGCGTCTCTAGCTTGTCCAGGTCGACGATGGGTATCGAGGACGGCCAGCGCCACGAGTGGCCCGCCTGCGGCCACTTGAGCGGTAGCTGCTCGCCGAACTTGTCTCGCGGCAGCAGCTTGTGCAGCCCGAGCTCCTCGGCGGTCCCGGCGACAAAGTACGCCCGCCGCAGCAGAGACATGTGCGCGTGGTGCTTCAT